AAAGTTGTAGACCAAGAAAAAATAATAGAGATGAAAAAAAAATTCGGATGGATTGCCCACATAATAAGAGAGATATTTGCGTCCCAAATTTTCTCAGTTATTGAAAAATTCCTGATACTGGAGGAACGCCTTAGTTTGGTGCAGCAGCTTCACGCCGAACTCACGATTCGCAATTGTTTTGAGTTAAGCGTTCTGTCAGACGCAAACCCGTACAAGGTGGCTAAAATATATTACAATGCTATTTTTCACTACAAGTTAGAAGCCGAAGTATTCCTGCTGTAGATAGATTTTCGACCCTTCGGGTTCCTCGCCGTAGACTCCACAATCTACGGCAAGGAGTACGAAAACTCTGAAATCTACGTCCAGGACAACGAAGACCCCAAAATCTACGGCGAGGAACACGAAGGCTCGAAAATCCACGTCCAGGAAGACGAAGACTCTAAAATCTACATCCGGGATCACGGAAATCAACAGCAGGAATACTTCGGCTTCTAATTTGTAATGAAAAATAGCATTGTAATATATTTTAGACACCTTATATGGGTTTGCGTCTGACAGAACGCTTACCTCAAAACAATTGCGAATCGTGAGTTCGGCGTGAAGCTGCTGCACGAAGCTAAGGCGTTCCTCCAGTATCAGGAATTTGTCAAAAAGTGAGAAAATTTCGGACGCAAATATCTCTCTTATTATGTGGGCAATCCGTCCGAATTTTTTTTTGATCTCTATTATTTTTTCTTGCTCTACAACTTTTGCATTTAACTTTTTTCAATATCATTTGAAATGGCAAAGATAATTTTTTTTATTTGCGACCGGAAGTTAAGCGAAAAATAATAATATGCCCATTCGATGCGCAATCAAAAAATATTCAATGGTTGTGACATCAGATTTTCGAAATTGTGTACATCCGGGATCACGGAAATCAACAGCAGGAATACTTCGGCTTCTAATTTGTAATGAAAAATAGCATTGTAATATATTTTAGACACCTTATATGGGTTTGCGTCTGACAGAACGCTTACCTCAAAACAATTGCGAATCGTGAGTTCGGCGTGAAGCTGCTGCACGAAGCTAAGGCGTTCCTCCAGTATCAGGAATTTGTCAAAAAGTGAGAAAATTTCGGACGCAAATATCTCTCTTATTATGTGGGCAATCCGTCCGAATTTTTTTTTGATCTCTATTATTTTTTCTTGCTCTACAACTTTTGCATTTAACTTTTTTCAATATCATTTGAAATGGCAAAGATAATTTTTTTTATTTGCGACCGGAAGTTAAGCGAAAAATAATAATATGCCCATTCGATGCGCAATCAAAAAATATTCAATCGTTGTGACATCAGATTTTCGAAATTGTGCACCGTTTCACCGCAAATCTCAAACGTGCATCTGGGCTGATACTGTATATAATATGAGTATATAAATATTTGGGGCAAAAATGTTGCTGTATTTAAGCTGGAACTTTTTTCCGTATTTTTACATATCATCTGTTATAACAAACCGTTATTTCCTGAAATGCCACCTCCACCTCGGCCGCTATAACTCGTGCCTCGAACATTGTTATTGATCGTTCCAGCCAGAGCGACAGAGACAAACAGGGAGAGACAGAATGAGTTAACGAAAGGGAGAAACACGTGAAACCTATATAAGCGCAAAAGAGAATCTGTACGCTGTCGGGAAATGTAGGAACGATACGCAATCAAGGTAAAATTTATTATAACGTTAGTTAACTCGCGTCAAGCTGTATGTAAAGTCACCGTGGTGTGTAACTTCCTAGATAGGTGTGATAAATGAAACAGTAGTGATTGGTACTCTTGCAACAATTGGCACAGTAGGGAGTCAAATAGCAAGGCCAACACGTGTACTTAAATGAGCCACATCGACTGGTAGTAACGGCCGGCGCCGACGAAGCATGGGAGGAGGGTTGGCAGCGTCAACCTACTCTTAGAGAAAAAATATAAAAGAAGCTACTTCAACGAGAGCTGATCTTCTTATTTCGATTACAGTGACAATAAGCCCGGTACATCGTAGACAAGTAGCAGCCGGTGATCTTGGAGACAATAGTTCTCGACTTAATCTGTATTGAAGGCTTTGTGATATCTTATGAAACTCTTATGGAATATTAAAATTAGTTGCTCCAGCGTATACGACACCATGAAAATTCATTGAGCTTGCACATAGCTGAGCAGTGGAATCGTATCAACGGAGAAATTACTCGAAATCAGTAGATTTCAGGAAATACTCAGGATGCTGTGCACTGCAAATATGGAGAAGTAAGCTATTGGTAGTCCACGTCCATAAGCTTCGATCCTTGCCTAATATGAATACGTGTTTCTGCTTTGATTAAATTAAATATATTAAACAAACCTGCACGTTGTTTTCGATTTCTGCTCGGAGCGTTACAGCCAATACAACTGTCAATACAGATAAGTCGATTTCAGAATTATAGATGTTTCAGTAATTCTATTCGGCTCCGTTTCGATATCTTTTTCTATGGACCTTGGTTCTATTAAAGAGAGCACCATTTGTAATTGACAAAACGCGAGATTACTAATTTGCGGTTTAGAAGCGGATATCTTGAGCTCTGAAGTATCCACTCGAGTATCGTAAATGTTTCATCTATACGAATAATCGGCATTTAAGTTGGTCGATTGAGTTGCGATGTTGTGATCTCCAGAGTCCAGCTTAAACTATCATGTAATTTAAGGTTATATCCCATCGTTGATAGTTCTAATATCCTTAGGAAATTTAAGTTAAGGGGTTATATAGGTTTCGAAGTCTGAAAAAAAGCTTATTTCCTCTAATGTTTTTTTAATATAATAAAAGAATTATTTCATCCAAACTTTAAAGCATATAAAAGAGCAATAGTTCAACAATATTTTCTAAAAGTTTCATCTTTAAATTTTTAAAATTCAGCTGTTGGGACCTGTTTTTCGGACACCCCTTAGAAGAAAGTATCCTCGCGGTGGTCAGGAGAATTCATCATGACTTTATCCGAAATCGGAAAACCAAATATTTTTTGTTAGTAGATTAGTATAGCTCGTGATTGAACGAAGGATTAAAAAAAACATTAACATTTGAATGTTTGGCAGAGTTGTATGCAAAAAGTACAATTTTCTGTACAATTTAAACCACGTATTACTTTGTAAAATAAGTTGTGATTAAAGAAGAAAAAAGAACCTTCGCTAAATCACTAAACAATCCCATCTATAAGAAGCGTTCAGAATTTCAATATCGGTGCATTAGTTTTTGAGAAATCGTGTCCACCGACTTCAAAAATAGAGTTTTGAGAAAAAAGCGTTTAAAGTTTGAAATAGAAATAAAACTGAGAAAAATAATTTTTTTTTTTAATTAAACTAAACTAAATAACTTTACTCTGGTTGACTTGAAACATTGGAAAAATATTCTTGGCATTTTTTTGACATTAGATAACAAAAATTATTAAATCGATTTTTTGAAACTTCCATACCCATGTAACCTTTAAAGGGGACTTCAGCCCTCTTATCACAATGCGAGTAAAAAGTAAACAAAATGTAGACTCTTGTAATCAACAAGATTTTTATGAAGATTCTTACCTAAGGTGGAATTTAACCCATTAACGCCGAGGTGATCAGAATTTTTACTAACTTTTCAACGTATTTATTTATTATGTTATCGGACCAAAAAAATAATGCAATAACACTATTCCTACGCGAAATTTGATGCTCTTTCAGAATCTGTGCTCAAAATTTCGATTAGACACCGAGAAAAAAAAATATAGCCGATTTAAACGTGAAAAACGTGAAAATTTTCGACAAAAACTTTTTTTCGCATTTTTTTTCACAATGATAACGCAAAGGTATCAACTTTTTACTATGATCAGAGGTGATCATGGCACTCGAACATTAAGAGGAAGCACATTCTGCAAGGTTAACAATCAGACAAATTTCAGGTCGGATTACTCTCTTAGTTTTATATTAATAATTGTGAAAATAGTGTCGAATTGATTAGTGCAGTCAATCTAGACTTTGAATACATGGTGTACATGAAGTTGAAGATCTGGGTATAAAAGTTACACCAATCGATAGCTAAAGATCCCCTTATGAACACATTAATTTGAACACCTCAATTTTCAGGGCCAGATTAATAATTAATAAAACACAATCTCAGATTTGCGCCTAACCGACTTTTACCTTCCATTTCTCCACTATTACTCAGTCATTAAAAAAAAAATGAAATTACTAATTTGTAGCGGAGAAAATTTACCATCAAATTCAGTCGAAAACTATGAGAGAAAATGCACGGTTCATTTATTATAATTTTTTAAAGTAATTTTTAAGCATTTTTCGCTAACGTGTCAGCTGATCGTTGTGCTACGTGTCATGACGTCTGGGCCTGAATCACCATGATGCGCGCCATGCGCCGCTTATTCATACGTTCAAGCTACAAAGCTATAAAACGGGCTAAACAGTCCTCCAATTCTTCTTAAACCACATTGCTCGTTAGGTAACAATATATTACAGAACACGTGCATCTGGGTAAGGAACCACGCATAATGACTTGTCTCAATTGTTAAAGATCCAACGAAACAGAAATTTAACGTTATTAATTACAGCAGTTTCTTTGTTTCCAGTACGATTAATGTTTTTATTCCTTATGCGACAACGTCTCGTTAACTATTATTATCTTGATCTTGAATCGAAACATGCCCATTCTTTTATCGATGACGACACCATTTACAGTGAAACCTCTCATTTTTTAACCAGTCGGGACCACAACACTTCTTAAATTTTAAGGTCCCCTACAGTCTCTACTCTCGATTTCCCTATCTTTAAGTTCCGTCCATTTTGTATTTGTACATACGTCTTTTATTACGTGCAGTTAGGCATTTATGGATAAACTTTACTGCGCTTAAGTTTTCGCACTGCGACCCTGGCTAGTTGAAATTGCAACCTATGCACACATTAATTCTTCAAGTATTATACAAACATAACATTATGTTTAAAATGAGAAATGAAAAGTTTGACATGCTTTCAATAATGATTTATTTATTATTAATATTCGATAGTGCCTGATACAAAAATTTTGTAGTTTTATACGCCGACGTTCATTTACACTGCCGGATTCTACGCGGCGCAACATACGAAAATAGATATGTGTACTCGACGCAATGTATAAATCGAATGTTCATTCTCTCCCTCTTCCTCCACCTCTATTCGCCGTACAGTCTCCATAGTTACTTGATTCAATTCGATTACTTAAATTTCTTTGAATTCATTTTACTCTCGATTCAAAGATCATCTCTTTAATCTGCCAGCAGATTCGTCGACTCTTTATCGTTTTCTACAATACTATAATATTATAATTATAGTCCATGGGATAGTTTACTCGTTTATCAGAATAATCATTATAGTCGTAACAATGATAATATTGAAGACGGCTGTTCCTAATGAACCTTTCATCTTACTTCGGAATATCTTAAGTTGATTACCCAATACCTATGTTATGTAGCTACCATTAGAGAACTAGTTATATAGGATTTTTTCACGGCAGTGAAAAACCTGTAAAAGCCAGGGACTGGATGTGCTGCATTTGCGCTCCGAAAAAGTGACAAGTGTAACCGCTCTAGAGAAAAGGTCGAAAGATAAAATATAAAAAATGGAAGGCTTTAACGAAAATCAAAAGATAATACTTCGAAGTTAATACCCCAGGTGTAATAAATTGCATTAAAATTCGTAGTTATAGTTATAAAGACTGGAAAAACAAAACTGGTGAGGTCCATAAAGTGAGATCCTCTGACGACCAACGGAGAAGGCACTAACATTTGTACGTCCCATCGTTTTCCATATCACACAAAGAAGCTACACTTTTCAACTTTTTTTTCAGAATCCTTGTTCTTATGATCACTATAGCTTTTCAGATCTCTTACACTGTATTTTGTTTACATTTTCTTGCACCGCTTCTCCTTGACCGCTGAAAACTTCTTCGCAGTTGATTTCTCTTCATCTCACGCTCGATATCAACTTGATCCAAGCCCACTACAGCATCTCCAGAACAATCTACACCTCTCATATTTTCATAAATTTCAGATTTTCCACTTTTGACCAACACTTTTCTCTCCTCTTCCTCTTCATCAAGTTCGAGTTCGCTGCAACTATCGCTGGCACATCTGCAATATATAATGAGTTTTTCATATCATAGCCTGAACTGTCAACTAAATAATTAAACTGTCGCTCAGGGCGGATGATTCAGAGCGACTTCGAGACTCATGAGTTTATCACGTTTACTTTGAGCGACTATAGAGTGATATAGTAAACGAATCAACAAGATAGACCAACAGATAGGTAAAACGAGGATTTTTTTTAACTCACGCAGATTCCCGCTGCTCTATTCGCGAAAGTCTCCGCTTCATCTTGGCATAACTGCTAGAGTACTCGGCAAGCAACCTGGCGAGTCTGGTCTGCAGATTGTATACGGTGTTTTCTGTACAACGTTAGAAAGAATAGAGATAGAAATAAGGCTAAATGAAGGATTTTCATCAGTGAAAACTACTATTTCTTCAATAATTTTAAATTCTTAGCCAAAATTTGAAACAGTTTGAATGATTACGATAGGCTAAATTGGTGTAAATTATGATCATTAAAAAATGCAGTTATAAGGTGGCCTTTCCCCTGCCACTACTTTCTCATTCACTGTCTGTTTCTCGGTCACTCTCGCACAAGCATAAGCACGCCTACACGCATATATGTATGTATACAATTTAAAAAATTGGCATTTTCTGAATACTGTAACACATGCAGCAAACTCAAATGTATCCCTTCGACCCAAAATATATGTATACAGCATCAAAGAATTGTTAGGTTAGATTCGTTTAAGTAATTAAATTCATTTAATTTTGACGTCATTTGTCAGTATTATGAATGCAAATAGAATTGGAAAGGGACTTATAGATTTGTACTTAACCCTTTGAATACCAGGACTCAAAATTCGTGTCGGAATTTTAACCTCCTTATACAGGTTGACTCGAAACAGGCATTTACCGAAATTTGCAACAGTTTTTAAATGAGAAACATTATGATGCACCAATCAGAACGAAGGATATCCGCGGATTATGGCTGCGTGGTGGGAGATACAGTCCCCTGTAAGGCAAAAGTTAGCTACTGCATACGGATCATGTGATTAGCAATTATTTCACGGTCAAAGCGCCAAGCGCATTCGTTCACAGACTGGTGGAACGTCACACTCGTAACTCATTACGTCACTAATCTGAAACTCAAGAACCGCGATTAAAATACTCAGATATCAAAGTTCCCCTAACTAGTGGTCCGTCCGATCGCACAACGCTCATGAGAAGAACTGACGAGAAGCCGTGAGAAGGAGACGAACTAACAATAAAAACTGGCAGGAAAACGTTATACTCTCTTACAATGTTCTATTGCGCCAGTATTAGCAGTCTGTGAACGAATTCGCTTGGCGCTTGGATCGTAAAACAATTCCTAATTGTGCGATTCGTCTAAAGCAGCTTACTTTTGCCTTACAGGGAAATCTTTCGTTCTGATTGGTGCATCTTAAACGTTTCTTTTTTAAAAACTATTGCGAATTTTAACAAACGCTTAGCGGGAGGATATTGGGGGACTTTCAGCTATCGCCGACTTTCCAGATGAAAAGTTGTTCTGTATATTTTGCTGCGAATAACTCCCTGATAACGGATCTACCCTCAGTTACTATGTACTTTGTTTATATCTTCTTGTACCGTTCTCCCTGATTGCTGAAACTTGTCGATCTCAATTTTCTTATGAACAAAGTCTACATAAAAATTTTGAAAAATTGAAATCTACATAAATAAAAGATATTAATGTTGTACAGATTGAGCGCATAATTTGTATATGCGTGTTGTTATTATGATAAAATAGACGAACTTCTTTAAATTAAATTTACGACATTTTTCAGACTGTTTGATGTCTTTCTTCTTAGCACTTACCGAGATGTTCCATCTTATCGACAAGCGAATCTTTTGCTTCTTTAGCTCCCTGAAAAACCTCTTCGTCTAACAGACCGTCTTTTCGCAGAAGCTGACATCCACGCTCTGTCAGAGAGTGTCTCGCCTCCGGGTAGTCTGCCAATGCCTCCCAAAGGTCCCTCTTAGCCAAACAAAATAGATCCGAGTAACCTGCAGGTGAGATCACATCACAAGGATACTTTACTAACTTTCACTCGCCCTTAAAACAATGGAGGATAGATTTGAACTTCCCACATTTTGATTGTAATAAAATCTCACCGAGGGATCTCACATTAGCAGTTCTTCTATTTCCGGTTCGATTGCCTGCAATCTCCAAAACACTCACTTCACCGAAGACACTGCCAGCGCCGAGAGTCGCAAGGATCGTCCTTCCGTCATCGGCCACCACGGTCAATCTCCCACGTTTAACTATATACATTTCCTTACCTACGTCGCCTTTTCTGCATATGTAGTCACCAGGACTAAAGACCTGTGGAAACAAATCAAGAGTAAATTCGACATCTGGAAATTAATTCTTCCAAACCTAGTTCTCAATGCCCACCTGAAGACGTAATTTAAGGACGAGCTCTTCGAGAAGGCCTGGTTCGCAATCCTGAAAGATGCGCACTTGCTTAAGCGTATCGAGATGAACGTGAATTGCGATTTCCGCCTTGAGCTTGTCTGGTAAAGCGCCGAGCACTCGTTCTTCATCCAATGCCTGGAGCGTTAGGTAGCCATTTAGATGAGTAGATAGATACCCTTGACGCAAGGGACATGGAAAGTGGTTGATGCTTGCTTGCCTGCTTATTTGCCCAGGTGTAAGCGAACCATCTGATCACCCTCGCTTCCAGTTCCGTCGAAACTTTGCGGAATTGCATATATTGTTTAACACCGTCCATGCGATTTTGGAACTCGACTCGTGCAACGTTCATGTTACTAATCATACTACCAATGTTGCCTACGATTGTCGCAAAAATCAACACACCCGCCAGAAAGTCGGCCACCACAAAAAGATACTCCGCATCGTTTTCAGGTTGAGGAGTTTCACCTGTGATATAATATAATGTAAAACATATCATATCAAGCAGTCTATACATTCTGGGCATATATCGGAAGACTATTCAAACTATAATCTTATGGTGAAACTTCGGATTTCAACGAGTAATCAGAGTCTATCTAGTAACGTGCATTTTTCCGACACGAGGATAATATCTGAAAGCTCTTTTCGTCTCCTCAGATATACATATATGAAATTTATGAAGTTCAATGAAGCTTAAGGGCCTTTCAACATAAAAAGACACATAAAGTATTGCCATAAACTGAGACGATGCGCTTTTCTCGTGAGACTTCGTTTCATCATTTCACCATTTCATGGTGTAAGTTTCTCTCTTTCTCTTTAACTCTTCAACTCTTTGACTGTATCTATCACAATATGAGATATTATATACTCACCGATGGTTGTAAGGGTAAGAGTACTCCAGTAGAAGCTATAGATGTATTGTCGCGTGAGAGAGGCGTTTCTAGTCCCGTTGAGATTGTAAACCCAATTGTCTGAACCAAAGCCCACAACGTAACTTATAGCGAAGTAAAGACATGCGTTCCAGTGGATGAGAACGAGAATAGCCAGGACAACCTTGCATATCCGAAAAGCATTCGGATAGCCTGTTCGGGTTTCAGTCTTTTCAAAGTATTGCCACATTCGTGATAGCTTAAGTAATCGGTTCGTTCGTACAATCACCGGACACGGTACCTATAATAGATATTGAAGTCTGTACGTTTAAACTATTTCTCGTTGAAGCAGTTGATACTCCCGGAAAGGTCACAACCCATCAAGGAGGAGCAAGGAGAATCACCTACGTTGCAATAATCAAATCTGCCATTCGACCCTGACCTCGCTCTCGTTCTAATTTTAAATCTCAAGAGGATATTTTAACCAGGGACATCACATCGAAACCAATTTTACATTGACAATATAATTTTTTCTCGCAGAAGTAAAGACTTTCTAACCTTTCTTCACTCTAAACTTCCCTCGTCTTACCTTAATTTGACAAGAACTCGGATTCCACCAGATATAGGCAAGATCAGTCGGAAATATCGAGAGAAAGTCAAACCTCCATCTTGCAGTCCTCAAGTAATTCTCTCGAAGTCGCTTAGCATCCTTCACCATAAGTCCTTGATCGAGATATCCTGCACGTCATAATTCAATTATCAATAAAATCAAGATCGACAAATATTCTCTTCTAAGTTTTAAATAATTAAAAAGAAAAATTTATTGCTCATTGCGCCATTTCAATTTGGCGGCGCAATATTAATTTTTTTAAAGCCAGAGACAAAGTAATTACGCATAATTAGGAAAATACAAGATGATCAGTATAGTCCGGCAGACCCTTGGGAAATGGTCTATAACGATCGCGTGTATCCTGTTGTTATATCAAAGTGACTTCGTACTCCGTCGGGGCACGCGACTCTCTATTGAAAAAATAATATATTCCCTCCCTGCTGTCTCAAATCTTCTAGGATATTTAGTCTGTTGACCGGCTCTCGAGTATGAACCTCTATGCTCTTCTTCACTGGTTGCAGGTACGGAAGTAATCTTCCATACGTAATAATGTCTCAGGGATATGCCAGCATAGAATATCCTTATATGTAGTTCCTGCTGCTTCTCGAGTCTCTTAGTCATCAAGAGGAGGAGCTGATCGATATGCTAGATCGATATGCAACTAATCGATCTTTCCCCCTGAGGCATCCAGTGTCCAAGACAAATAATTGGCTTGAATGTTTCTAGGGGCTCTACCTAGAAAGCCTCGGGCAAATAGAAGGACAAGTGGACGCCGGAAATTGCCGGGTAGACGGTTAAAATAGATGACTCCTTCAGGAAAAAATAAAACACAAGTATCTCTATCATTGACTTACCTTCGTGAGCATGAACGATAATGTCAAGGAGGTAGATCGTGTCGCAGGTGTAATCAAGGAAGAACCATACACCAGGCACGGCATTGTTCAACTCCCAGAAAACGGCGCGACCAACGACGAAGATGAGATTATAGAGAACAGCTAGTGAGACGACAAGAAGCCACTGTAACCAGAGTAGCAAAATCTTTTATTCTGGAATTAGTTGACTGTACTAAATTTCTACTGATAACCTGTCTTTCCTTGTATTTACAAAGGTTTCTAAGCAAAGTGTTAATCGCACAACTTGATTAAATACTGTGTTATATTGTATCATTATGCTTATACACATATATACACATATATAAAGAATGATTGACAGCCATAATCATTGCAATTTTTATCCATCAATTCTTTATAGAAATTCTTGAGTTATTTCCCTCCTCTTGGTGGCTTTTTTCAATTGCTTCTATGAAATCAATTCCATCGTCATCTAATGTTCCTACTTGGCAGCTTCTAAAATTCGTTCAATCTATTGGGACGATCAAACGCGACGGGTCGATATTGAAATCAAGAAACAGTTTCGAGCCAAATAAAGAGTAGTACCCTAATGGAACTCAAACAGAGAAATCAAATCTTAAGTAGCGCACATAAAAACTCTATGTCTGACGGAATCGTATTTCAGTCTTTTCATTACTAAGATCACCCGTTAGCCGGTCACTCGTAACTTTGCTAATTGACTTTTTCATAATTTCTCCCTGAATTTTTTCATGAGGTTTTAAATGATACTGATTTGAGGGCAGTGCGGATAAGATTCAATTTTATTCCTTTTATTATAAAGTGATATGATAACCGATGAAATGACACTATTTATCTTAGCGATGGAACGGGCTTGCAGATATACGGGGTTTACGAGTTCAATATATTTTTTTTTATAATTCATAAACAATGTAATTCTTCGTAAATCACATATGAATTTCTATAAATTCATTGAAATATATATGGTAAAAATAAAAAACATAATATGTATTCATACTCCCGAGTATCGTGTTCAAACAAAAGAAATTAGGAGCTTTTCGCCGGAAGAGGTATCAAAAATGGAACTTAAATCAAACAGAAGCGTTGGACGAGATACTCAATTTCTCTGAAGATTTATAAGTTCCTATTCTTTCTCAATTACTTTTTATCTTATGTCATACCAATAGAGACTTTTCTTAATATTTTGCTTAAAAGAAGCTAATAAATTGCACAAATCGTAGTGCCGTATCATCTATCTACGAGACTTTATCTAGTTTATATTTATAGATGTAAAATTTAAACATATTCACATTGTAATATCAGATTTTTATGTATATCAAAAATTAATTCTTTTTAAATGCTAACTTATTGCTCTTATAAAATTTAAACATCATCGTCCCTTAATAATGAGCGTAAAAATCGCTAGATTTAATTAAATGAACATTTGTTGAACAAAAGTTTCATTCCAATAGATCGAATCGTCATCAAAGCTAACAAATTGATGAGTCATGATAGATGGTCTAAAAGGTAATAGTTGATAAACAGCGACAAATGACAATGGGAGGCGATGGAAATAGAATATGCGCAAGAAGATACAAATAGACCAGTACTCACTCTATAGTGAAAAGGAAGTGTAGGGTCGATGGCAAGGCGGTGGCCCCAGCAGCAAGTGGCGCTGTGCTCTGGTGATGTCGACGTACTGCTGCCCTGGAATTTTGCTAGGAATCCGTCCGGTTCTTGTTCTTTTTTCCTTCTCCTGGGTCTACACTTCCACATGCACTAAAACGATACAATTTAACATATTTTCTCAATTTAATCGATGTTCTCTGATGGTAGCGCTAGTGGCTGAACCCGAAAAGGTGATTGCTAACTGAGCAACTTGGTCGGAGCAGTTAGTCGATCAGGAAGCCAATAACTTATCTAATAGATTTACTGAGCAATTACCTGAAGACGGTGGGTAAGGCGACGGAAACGACGATGAAATTTGTCAGATTTGTGGAAGTTCCCGCGGGAACTCTCCATCCCGCCACTCTCCTGTAAAATCGATTGATCTGATGTAGTGGAGAGAAGCTTGATCTTTTTTCACTCTCTATGCACAACTTCCTGGCGTCGTCGTATCTACCTAACCTAAACCCAGCTATTAGGGATATCTAAACATTAAGAAAATGTTGGAAGGATACTATTACATTTAGACTCATGTACCGTAACCCCATTAAACATTCACTGCGGGATGTGGGGTATAGCCGTTGAGCGAATTATCCTAGTGGCATTAATAATCACAATGACTTATTGGTACTCACTTGATTGGGATGGTGAACTTCCAGAACCCGTATAACCTCCGAAAGTTCCGTATCGGGACAATTCGATGTGCCCGAAATTCTTGCCACGTGGCTTGAAAGACTCGTATCCTGGCCAGAGAAAATCTGTCGCAACATATGTCAAACGATTAGATCCGGCTATTCTAGCAATAGATGGAAGATAGGCGTAACGCAAAAAATATCGAGGATATTATTTTTCCGCTTAATCTCGATGATGCTAGATGCGCCAAGAAATATATCCAATCCATTAATAAGCAGTTTAATCAACTAATGGCCGACATCAAGGACGACTAAGACCCATGAACTTATACCCGTCTGCTTCCACAGTGCGGTGCTTTATGACATAGTGCGACCTCATGGCTGCACAGTCATACCACAAGATTAATTGATATCATGCCTGCAGAACCTTTGAGAAAGCTACTCTATTATCTTTCGAAGATTAAGCTAAAATACCCACTAACCTGAGACGATTGAGAGTTTCGACGTAACACATGATTACCGAGAGGGGATCGGTTCGAAGGAGACAGTGAATGAGAATGAGAAATTATATGTGAATTAGAGGGAGAAGGTTGCGACGAAGCTGGAGAGGAAGCAGAAATAAGGACCGGACGGGATTCCGTCGAGCTGGGACGAATGTTTTGCAAGGGTTCGGGTGGCTCTGGAGGTTCGGGGGGTACTGTCCTTTGAGGCCGGTGAGAGGAAGCAAGTCGGCGTGCATGTGCCGCTAGCGGGTCAGCAGTTGCTGCAGCCATCATATAGGTCCACATGAGTTAGGTTATTCTTCCTCCTCTTCTCCTGGTTGTGCCTCTTAGTTCTTCTTGGCCCAATAGCCACTTCCAGGAGTACTACCACGCTTGATATCGGCGATGCCACCACACTGTCAGCATGACACATGCCTGCGAACTTTCCTGGCTGTCTGCCTGCTGACCTGTAATCATAGATTAACCGAAACTTTATCCAACCACTTTTAATTTTTTTTTCTATTCTCTCCATTATTTTACAATCGATAATAGATTGCGATCATTTTTTAGGAATAGTGCGGTAAACTTTTTCAATCGAACGTATCTGCCGTTATAGACTGTTTTGGAATGTTACAGAGCTTCCACTACGCCAATCGATGCTCTAAGTTGGTTGCTACGCATCGAATCCTATTGCCTTGCAATATTCACGCCAACATGAGGCTCTTTTACTCATAATACCGAGAAACGAGATTTTATTAAACTTTACTTACTTTTCATTCTATCGAAATCGAGGTAGAAAGAACAAAAAAGTGAAGACTAAATAATCCTCATACTACATAGGGATTGTATGATGACATATTTAGTCATCCTCGTAATCGCAATGGGGCGTCGGCTAGCTGACGCCCTCAGTATCGTTGGTTGGCGTCGCCGTAATTTCGATCATGTTCAACGTACCAGTTGTGTTCATGAGTTCTAACGAAACTATATAACACATTCTTCTGTCGCGCCGTGACGTTACTTGCATTACCGTAGCTATGACCTGCGTCACGACGGCAAGCACATCGTGGCTAGGAGGTAATGTCAACCTATGAACAAATCGTTTATTGGCGCTAACCGAATCCTGATGATTTTTCCTATTTCTAATTAGGACCGAGTATGGGAAAAGTATGGAAACCACCTCCGGGCTATGCTAAATATAACGCTTTTTAGTACAGGCCGGAGATTAAATAGGTCATTTGGTCCCTGAAAAATATCTTGATAGTTCTCTCTTTCTCTAGGTGGAAATATTATGCTAGTAGTAAAATATTGTAGCTAATATTTCACAATGTCCATAAATTATTCTGAAAAACTGTATTACGATGATACTGAATCTATAAGGCTTTTTTGTTTAATGCTTTTACAAATAAACTGTGTAAAATCTTTCTAGTTTCCCCAAATAAAACCAGACAACCGTTATTAATAGATTCAAGAAAGTAATATTATCTAAAAACTATAGAAAGTTTTCTTAAGATTTATATTCGCGACATATAATTTCATCCAAAATCATAATGAATGACAATAATCAACAACGACTGACAAAGACGTCTTGATTACATTAAGGGCGTTCAAAAAGTTTAGTGTAACTGATACGTTACGCTGACACACTTTAATTAAAGTGTACTTACTACCTATAAGTATTACTTTACTATACACATTTTAGAAAGTCCTTATTTGCTTGTTGTTTGTTTCACGTCGTCACAGTTTATAACCTTGATAGGGTTACGGTTACGCTTACTATAATGTGCCTGATAGGAAATGCCTAGTTTGTAGTATTAACATACTAGCTGAAAATTGGCTGAGCCCATAATTGCAAGTCATAAATACGAAAACTATGTGAATTCCCGGCTAGGGTTTTTTTCTAACATTCTAACATTAGGTGTGCTCTGACAGATTTGTATACGTGAGGATGCCCATCTAGTTTCGCGGCGAATTAATTTCTCGTTGGCTGCTCATTTTAAAGAAATATCGCGACTCATGTTTGTCCTCACGAGTGATTCGATGAGCTTTGCGGTGCTTAGGAACAATTGCGCTTAATAAAACGTCGGCAATGCATGGCAGATCAAAAAGTCATAAACTACTAAAGGCTAGAAAATTTTCAAGAAATAATGCTTCCATGTCAAAGATTCTAGGAACAAAGAAATGAAAAATAAATAAATAGGACTTATCAGGTTGAACAGTGGGTTCGGTGGCATAGTGGCTTGTGTCCAGTTTAGCTGTCCGAAGGTATCGGATTCAATTCCCGATCATAACTCCTAATTTTTCGGAAATTTCTAGCCTTGGGAAGGAGGGAAGAATAAGAGAATAGAAGGGAGATTGTTTTTAAGTTTACATGCATTAGTTGTTATCTTTATGCACTATGGGTAAATATTACATCTACAATAAAATTTGAATTTTCTGAAAGGAAGAACAACAATACAGACAAATCAGTACCCAAAAATGTATTAGGTCTCTAATGCAGAGCGCAGACAGCATATTTCACTGGCGCCTGTTCGTCCGCACGCTCAGGCATACCATTAAATATTGTCCCTAATTCCTCTCTATCGCTTATACGAAGAATTCCAATTAGTCTTCTCAAGCTAACGGTATATTAGAGGAAAAAAAGAAGTAAGTACAGGAAAATAAATGAAAACGCTGCTATCGGGCCTCTATTAATTTAAAAGGAAAATGAGAAAGATGAAAATATTTTACGGAAAGTAAGAAAAAGCAATGGCATAGAGGTAAAGTTGCAAAAATGAATAGGTGAAATACATTTATGATGCTTCTGACGGACAGGCCTCCACTCTCAGTCCGTCGCTACACGTAAGAAATTGTAGACGCGATATTTTTCCTTTTTTTCCATTGCCATGCAAGACTGATGAATAAAAAAGTAAAGCAGTTATCTAAAGAATCATGGTCTCATGATTTATTCTGCGACAATGTTAATTTATAATATTTATAATAATTAAAATAATAATATAAGATATATAATATTGTATTTATAAGTTATAAAAATAATATTTTCAAGAAACCTTGCGTGACATAGGAACGGAAAAGAAGAAATGAGTCTAAAATCCCTCACACATAACGACCAGCTGAAGAAGCGGGAAGCCCGATCACAAAAACATCGTAGGGGTATTCCGACCATTATATTCACAACTGTGCATAAAAGTAAGACATTTCCTTGGAACTCAAGTGATATCGAATTTCATCGTTCGCAATTTTATGAGGGAAAGCGCGCTCGCAAATTGTATATCTTCAACTCAGAGGTCACCTTCCGATTACGAAATGAACGCTTACTGTGAGGTCACCACTGTCGATAATGCCACTAATTGATGCGTATGTATTCGCGGAGGAAACTTTAAATAGCAAAGAGCAAGTGTACACATTCCTGTAGAAAATGTAAACTGAAATTTATTGTATGCATCTAGAGAAAAATACTATCATGGTACTTATGGAATCTTTTTTGACGCGCACACTTCGTTATTCTCGTATATAATACCGCGAGGGCAATGTGGTGCTGAGAGCTCGGTCGATAACTGCTGTGACGGTGTTTAGTAAGTAACCGGATAAGGTATAAGATAGTGACGTCTGCATCGATGCGCCCGCGGTTTGATGGAAGATGGATCGGTCACGGGGGATATGGAAAAGACATTAAATGGACAGGGGTATAAGATTTTTTAGGTACCACAGCGGGCGCTTGGACTTAGTCAAGAGAGGTTTATGAACGCTCAGCTCGAATCAAACAGCGGGGTGACAAAGTATCCAGCTCGGATTAAGCACCAGATCGATTAGCAGCGGCAGCCCAGATCGAGGAAAAGGGTAAGAGAGCACCCAGCCTAGATCAAATAACGGAGGCTAACGAAAAGAGCTGGTAGTTGATGAACGTACGAAGCCAATATTGGTTGACGATGTGTTTATCTCAGCGAGTAGCAGCTGATTGGCCTATACCGTCCTGGCTCCCTCCTGCTTTCAATTGACTTTTATAAAAAACTACCCTATTCTTAAGACTAAATCGTGGACCTTGAAGAGAGTCCTCGCCTTCCAAAATTTCTTCGATATGGTAAGATTGTGGCAAACGACGTTCATGCGAGGCTTTGTTCCCGTAAGCGAGGCGTTTATAAATATAACTAAGGGCGCGATGAAGGGTCAGGCTCAGCGATGGAAGCCTAAAGGATACAGTCCAACGAGTAATTTGTTAATTTTTTCCCTCGTCATGCATGACATATTGATCCTGAAGATCAATTAAATTTCTCTGGAAAAACACATGCGGAATGGCTTATATTTAAAATAGAGGGGTAGAAGCAATCCTAATAATTACAAGTCCATCGTATACCATAGTTGTTATAATTGCCTGAGGATGCAAGTGCGTCTGACGTGAATGGCCAATCTGTTGAATGTAGTACTAGGACGAGTAGCAGTGGTAGTCAGTATTCAGTCTAGTTGATGAGTGCCAAGTAGGATCGTTGTGCCGAGTAATTATATCAATCAGTTATGAATACAAATTCATTACGTTTTAGTTTGAAATTAGAACTGTTTCGTCAATCTCGTAAATTATTCCAAAGTATCCAAATCTGACACTATTAAATTTGTCCTCGAGGTCAGCCTAGTTATTTTCTCTATTCGTTATTTCGTGTTTTCTCTTCTATCTCCTCTTTCATTCACTCAGTCGCCGGGTCACCAATCGATCTATCAGGATATAGCGGACTATCTTAGCTGAACAGTTGACTGTTCTTCCTGTCTCCTCTCTCAGTCTTACATGTAGTCACTCCTATGCGAGCCTAACGATACAACTGCTTCAAATTTCCTTGTGGACATTTAGAACACACTAGCTTCTAAATGAACTGATATACAGGGTATTTCTTAAGCCCCGGATAGGAGACATACCGTTAGATCCGGCGTGAAAAAATACAAATAGTGGCGTCAACAAAATTCAAAATTTTTAATCATCTTATTAATTATTACGGATTAAAGTAAGTCAATCATAAGCGCGTGAGAACTGGTAACTCCTCCTCAGTCTCCTCCCACTGGGGACAGCCAATCATTTATTTTCCCACAAAAACAGTGACCGGTGGATACGTAAACGAATATTATTCTTTTGTTTATTTTCGTTACTCTGTTGTTTATTTACATTACTATATTCGTTATGCAACAGTCAAGTCGACAGACGACAATCATTTTTGCGTAATGATTACCAACGAGTATCGATAACAAGGTTGATGACGATAAAAAGAATAAAGGAGTTAAAGGGAGAAAGCGGGAGCCACTATATGAAGCTTTCGCCTTGTTTCGCATCTCGTTTTGCTAGTTAAGCTTGAAGAACCGAAGTCGAGATACACTTGGCCTTGGAGACAGTGGCCTGTTCAATTATTGATTTCAGTACTCCTTCGGTGCTGATCATTAAGCAACTTCTTCCTGGCTACTGAGCCAAAAAAAATTTGCATTTTACACT